AGACAAGGGCAAAGCTGTTGCTCTGAGTTCGAGCAGTTTTGAATCCAACAACGACGATGAGGAGTCGCAAGGACCCCGGATGGGAGCCATGCGTTTGTTGAACGCCATGCGGGGTCAAGTGGGGGAGAACCCGAAGACAAGGCAACAAAAAGCAGGAAGTGGCGAGCTAATGTATGTAGACATCAAGCTCAATGGCCAAACAACTCGTGCAATGGTGGACACGGGTGCTACCCACAACTTTATAGCCGATCGAGAAGCAAAGCGACTTGGGTTGATCTTGGAGAAGAGCCCAAGTCGAATGAAGGCGGTGAACTCGGAGGCCAGGCAAATCTCCGGATAGGCAAAGGGAGTTCCCATCAAGATCAGAACATGGAGCGGGAACACCAACATGATGGCTGTGCCACTGGATGACTTCCAAGTAATTCTTGGAATGGAGTTCATGCACGCGGCGAAGTTGGTGCCTATGCCATTCCTAAACTCCTTGTGTATGATGGGAGGCGATGACCCCTGCGTGGTTCCTGTCTCTCGGAGAGGAACCAAGGAACCACAATATATATCGGCATTGCAATTAAAGAAAGGGGTGCGAAAAGGTGAATTAACCTTCGTGGCTGCGATGAAGCTAGAGCCACTTGACGAGAAGGCCATTCAAGAACCTGCTGTGGTGGCGAATGTCCTGAAAGAGTTCAATGACGTTATGCCACCCGAGTTGTCGAAGACTCTTCCACCACGTAGGGGTGTGGATCACAACATCGAGCTGGAGCCAGGAGTGAAGCCTCCGGCGAGACCACCCTATCGCATGCCCCCCGCCAGAGTTGGCAGAACTCAGGAAGCAATTAGGTGAACTGCTAAGCGGTGGTCTCATCCATAGCTCTAAAGCAACTTTCGGAGCTCCAGTTCTCTTCCAAAAGAAACAAGATGGGAGCCTCCGACTATGCATCGATTACCGAGCCCTTAACAAAGTGATAGTGAAGAACGAGTATCCCATCCCGCTCATAGCAGACTTGTTCGACCAGTTGGGCAAAGCTAAGTATTTCTCGAAACTCGACCTTCAGTCGGGGTATTGGCAGATGCGCATTGCTGAAGGCGACGAAGCGAAAACTACCTATGTGACCAGGTATGGAGCGTTTGAGTTCTTGGTGATGCCTTTCGGCTTAACCAATACTCCTGCCACGTTCTGTACTCTCATGAACCAACAATTCAAGGAGTATTTGGATAAGTTCATGGTCGTCTACTTGGACGATATCGTTGTCTACAGTCAAACGCCCGAGGAGCACGTCAAACACCTTCGGACAATTTTCAAGGTTCTCAGGGAGAACACTTTGTTTGTGAAAAGGGAGAAATGCTACTTTGCTCAAACTGAGATCTTATTCTTGGGGCATCGAATCGGTGATGGCTCCATTCGGATGGATAAGTCGAAGGTGCAAGCGGTTGCGGAATGGCGAACTCCAAAGAAGGTGCTAGAGTTGAGATCCTTCCTTGGTTTCGTCAATTACTATCAACGCTTCATAGCGGGATATTCGAAGCATGCAACTCCACTGACAGAGTTGCTGAAGAAGGAGCAGCCTTGGAAGTGGTCTAACAAATGTGAAATAGCATTCCAAGATCTGAAGGCTGCTGTTATGGAAGAACCGGTGCTCAAATTGCTGGACTATGGAGAGCCCTTTGAAGTCCATACAGATGCTTCAGACTTCATTATTGGGGGAGTACTCATGCAGGAGGGTCATCCAGTGGCCTATGAGAGCCGCAAACTCAACGAGACCGAGCGGCGATATCCAGTGCATGAGAAGGAGATGACAGCGGTGATCCACTGTCTATGAGTTTGCCGACACTACCTCCTCGGGTCGCGATTTGTGCTGAGGACAGACAATATCGCTCTGAGCTATTTCCAAACTCAAAAGAAGCTCTCCCCAAAGCAGGCGCGATGGCAGGACTTTCTGGCTGAATTTGATATGGTAATGGAGTATAAGCCTGGGAAAGCAAATGTCGTGGCCGATGCATTGAGTTGGAAAGTGGAGCGCATGAATGTCGCACAATTGGAGGGCGGAGGCCAAGCAAGTCAATTGCACTCCAACTTCTTTTCCAGGATCAGGGATGGACTGTATAGTGACCCCTAGGCAGTTATCCTGATGCAGCTCATCAAAGAAGGCAAGGCATGACTATTTTGGGTCCAGGAGGGACTCGTTTACACAAAAGGGAATAGGGTTTATGTTCCCCGAGTGGAAAATTTGAGGCGTGAACTCTTAAGAGAGTGTCACGATTCCCTTTGGGCTGGACACCCAAGCATTCACAGAATGTTGGCTCTCGTGGAGAGGGCCTTCTACTAGCCGAAGGTGGGGACTGATGTGGAGGAATATGTTCGAACATGCCTTACTTGCCAACAAGACAAGGTGGAGCAACGGAAGCTGGTGGGACTTTTGGAGCTGTTGCCCATACCAGAAAGGCCGTGGGAGAGCATTTCCTTGGACTTTATATCAAGCTTGTCACTTGTAGGGAGACTCGGATCGATACTCATGGTGGTCGATCGATTTTCAAAGTATGCAACTTTCATTGCTGCTTCCCTACACTGTTCAGCAGAAGAGGCGGCCAAGCTGATGATGAAGGATGTGGTGAAGTATTGGGGAGTCCCGCACAATATCATTAGTGATTGAGACGCTTGGTTCCTGGGACGATTCTGGACCGAGCTATTCAAATTGTTGGGGTCAAAGTTATACTTCTCCACAAGCCTCCACCCCCAGACGGATGGCCAGACTGAAAGGATAAACTCACTCCTGGAGCAATATCTTTGGCACTACGTGAGTGCCAACCAACGAGATTGGGTGAAGCTGTTGGACATTGCCCAATTCTCCTACAACTTGCAGCGGAGCTCTGCATCCAACAAGAGCCCCTTCGAGATCATTACAAGACAAGAACCGTCGACTCCACACACCATGGCAATTGGGTATATTGGGAGTAGTCCATCAGCCTACCACTTTGTAAAGGAGTGGTACCGAAATACAGATATTGCGCGGGCTTACTTGGAGAAGGCGACAAAAAGGATGAAGAAGTGGGCAGACTTGGGAAGGCGACCGTAAGAGTTTAAAGTTGGCGATTTGGTGTTAGTAAAGCTCCAACCAACATCACTCCAATTCTTTTGGAACAAAGTCCACAAAGGATTGGTGCGCAAGTATGAAGGGCCCTTCCCAATTATCAGCATGGTAGGCAACGTCTCTTACAAGTTACAGTTGCCAGCGTGGTTCAAAATTCACAACTTTCTTCACACCAGCAACCTAAAAGCTTATCACTCGGATCCGCAAGTTGCTTCCCGAAGTATTCCAACTCGGCTACCTCCCACCACAGCCTCCTACGAGAAGCGAGTTAAAACCATTCTGGCGGACCATAAGATAAAGCTACCTAATGGAGCTGAGCAGATAGAATACTTGGTGAAGTGGTGAAAGCTTCCCCGAATTGAAGCCAGTTGGGAGCCTGAAGACGCCCTATGACATGAAGAAGCAATCATCAACAACTACAAACAAGCGTCGACAAGGGCGTCTATAGTTTAAGTGGGGGAGAATGTCACGAACGGTCGTCGCGCACCCGCAACAACTCCATTCAATGAACCGTTCGTCGCTCTCATCTACATGTACAGCTACTTGGCAACCTGTTTTGCCTTGGTTTTGAGTCATTTTGCTTGTAAAAATGTAAGTTCGAACAAGCTGCAGCGTTACAAAGCGACCGCTCACCGAACCGAGCAAAACAGCCCCAAAACAGCTCTGTTTTCGTGTGCCGCGGGCTGATTTCTGGAATCCGCCTCCGCTCACCAAAACGTCAGCCATCTCAGCCCCTTGGAACCCCCCCGGGTGGCACAGGGCTAGATGGGGCTTCGGTATAGTACCGGGCGTTGAACACTCCTTCGCAAGTTCGCACGTTGCCTTGACGGGAACTTGTTGTCGCACTCGAGACTCGGTGAGCAGCTGTTTGTGGGCTTGCAACTGTTCGTTCAACCTTCTAAAGTCCTTGTTTTCCCCCTCTCCCTCTTTTCTCTTGTGCACGCAAGGTGCTTGCTGAATTGCTTGTAAAGCTTCCCCTCTTTTCACGAGACGTCGAGACTTGTTTGTCGCTCGTTCTTTCGAACTAACCAACTTTCTCTTTTACAGGTCCTTCGGGACCTGCGAGAAGTTACAAGTGGGCTGATCTTTGTGGACGCAAATCGCAAGGGCGAAGCGCGACTTAGGCAACGCAAGCTAAGTTTGCGTCTCGGCCACAAGGGTGCCTCATGCCTTAGGCAATTACAGCTAAGGCCGTGACAATTGGTTGCTGGCCGAAGGCACGGGCGAAACTTTGCTTTTCTCAGCGGCGTTGGTCGCTGGCCGAAGACAAGAGAGATTTCCTCATATAGTTGAGGAAATCTTATCTTCTATCAAGTGGAGGCCATCTTACTAGGTTGGAGCTAGAGGATGGGGTTGCAGAGCCGCCGACGATACGTGAAAGCGATTACCCGCGCCAAGAAATGATTATGACCTTGCCACTACCGTTGACCCTCACGGTTGCGTTGTGATTCACCATCAAGCTCTGAGAGCAAGATGTAATAGCAGAAAAAGATAGTTGGGTGACGCTTCGATGATCGAAGGTGTGCTCCGGAGTGTTTGCGAGGCTAATCATTGTCTTCACGTTGCGGATCACTTGAGTTGCTGACGCATATGCTTTCTCTTCCTCCTTTCCTTTTGTTTCAACTCTCGTAGTCGCTCTCCTTCTTCTTTCATAATAGTCATCCATTGTCTCAATCGGTACCATTATTCGTTACCATTGAAAATGTAATTGGAATGTTAAAATTATTATTTTTATTTATCGCTTTCGTGCTTAGTAAAATTGATAACGGTAAACTTTTGTACTAACGTACACCATAGGTTTTACTTTCATAATTATAAAAAATTTAATAAATTTTTTAAATATAAAAATAGAGATATTGAGGTGATCTAACTACTTGCATAAATTACCCCTATTATTATCACTTAACCGTAGCTGTATGCTCTAAGAGAGCACTGGTTGCCAGTCTCGGCTGGCTTCATCATCTGAATGCAAACACATGGAACTTTTTCCGCTGCCATCCCCACTTCTCTCACGCCTCTCCTCGACCCCTTCCTCCGACACTCCTCCTCCATCCGGACCAGATCACAGGCCCAGCAGCTCCATGCCCTCCTCCTCAAGTCCCACCCTCGTCCCTTCCCCCTCGTCTTCTCCCTCTACTCCGCCCTCGGCCTCGTCCGCGACGCCCGCCTTGCCTTCACCGCCGCACCCACCCCGTCCCCGCCCTGCTACGCGGCCGTCATCCGCTGCTCCGCTGCTCGCGGCCTCTTCGACCACTCCGTCTCTGCCTTCGTCCGCATGCGGTCTTTTAGCTCCCCTCTGGCCGACGCCGTCCTCCCCTCCGTCCTCAAGTCCTGCGCCGCCCTCAGGGATCCCCACCTTGGGACAGCCGTTCATGGTTTCTTGATCCGCTCGGGTTGGGGTGCCGATCTCTTCACCGCCAACGCCCTCATGAACATGTACTGTAAGTTGTGTCATGCCAAGGACGACGGCCGCCGGAATTCACTTGCTGAGGTGTCCAGCGGAGGCGCCGTCGGTGGCGATTCGAGAAAGTCGGGATTTTCTCATGCCAGCCAGATTCGACTGGGTCCTTTGGGGAGCGTAAGAAAGGTGTTCGACGAGATGCCTCAACGAGATGTCGTCTCGTGGAATACTTTGATTGCAGGGACTGCAGAGAATGGTATGCATGTAGAAGCTTTAGAGATGATCAAGAAGATGGGCGTAGCTGGTCTGAAGCCTGACTCATTTACTTTGTCGAGCGTTCTCCCGATCTTTGCTGAATATGTTGATGGTTACAAGGGAATGGAGATTCATGGGTTTGCGATAAGGCATGCATTCGATACAGATGTGTTCATTGGGAGCAGCTTGATCGATATGTATGCCAATTGCACTAATGTGGATTACTCGCGCCGAGTATTTGATCTTTTACCAAACCCTGATCCAATTTCGTGGAATTCTATCATTGCGGGTTTGGTGCAAAACGGCATGTTTGATGAGGGGCTCAAGTTGTTTAGGGAGATGTTACTTTGTCGGATAAAGCCTATGCCTGTGACTTTTTCTGGCATCATGCCTGCTTGCGCTCATCTGACAACACTGCGTCTTGGGATGCAGCTCCATGGGTATGTCGTCAGAGGTGGGTTTGCAGGGAATGTTTTTGTAGCCAGTTCACTTGTTGATATGTATGCGAAATGTGGAAATGTCCATATTGCTCGGCGAGTCTTTGATGGGGTGCCATCACCAGATAATGTTTCATGGACTGCCATGATCATGGGTTATGCTTTGCATGGGCCAGCACAAGAAGCTCTATCACTGTTTCAGCGAATGGAGACCGAGAATGGGAAACCTAATCATGTGGCCTTTGTGGCAGTCTTGACTGCTTGTAGCCATGCTGGTCTGGTTGATGAAGCCTGGGATTATTTCCATAGAATGTCTAATGATTATGGAATTATTCCCAGGTTGGAGCATTATGCAGCAGTTGCTGATCTTCTTGGTCGAGCTGGGAAATTAGAGGAAGCCTATGATTTTATTTCAACCATGCACATAAAACCTACTGCTGGTGTCTGGTCCGCCTTATTGGGTGCTTGTCGGGTTCATAAGAATGCTAAATTAGCTGAGAAAGTGGCTGCAAAAATCTTTGATATCGAACCCAAGAACATGGGGTCTCATGTTCTCATGTCAAATATCTATTCAGCTGCAGGAAGATGGAATGAGGCAGCCAAATTACGAATGACCATGAAGGACAAAGGTATGAAGAAACAACCAGCTTGTAGCTGGATCGAAATAAAGAATGAGTTACATGCATTTGTAGCACATGATACGTCTCACCCATGTTACAATAAGATAATCAATGCTCTCAAAGTTCTGTTGGAGCAGATGGAGCGAGAAGGTTATGTACCCAACACGGAGGACGTGCTTCATGATATTGAAGAAGAGCAGAAGAGAAATATGTTATGCGGTCACAGTGAAAGGCTTGCAATAGCATTTGGCATCATAAGCACTCCACCTGGAACAACCATCCGAGTGACAAAGAATCTTCGAGTATGTGTTGACTGCCATACGGCAACAAAATTTATTTCGAAGATTGTTGGAAGGGAGATAGTTGTGAGGGATTTGAACCGCTTCCACCATTTCAAGGATGGGGAATGTTCATGCGGGGATTACTGGTAGATCAGAGTAGGGATGGGATTGTTAGCCATAGAATTTGTCTTGGAAGTGGCCCTTCTCTGATGCTTTATGCAATGCTAACCGAGGTACGAGTTGGAGATGGATTATATACACTGTTACTTATTTAGCACAACATGTCTGATAGCCTGTGTAACTCGAGCTGCTTAATGTCTTCTGTTCTAATATTTTAAGAATCAAGTGAAGACAGTGATTTTTGACTCAAATAAATGTTATTACAGCGCATCAAGCAACCTTTAGGTGAGTCAACTCTAAATCTAATTCTCTTCTTTGAATAGAACAAATAGAATTCCCTATCTTAAGGTCTTAGTCTACAGATAATGCTTTGCCCCTAATTAGTCTCAGCCAAAGACAAGCCAGGACTTTGCTGAGACCAGCAGAGTCCTGAAACTTGTTCCAAACCTCTAATAACAGCAAATCGAATGGCAGAGTGGACGGCTTCATTTTGTTTATATAACAGAATGAGCCATCTGTTTGCCCTATCCTTGGGATTTAATGTGTTTCGTAGAAGATTCATTTGTTTCATAGAAATGAAAGCTACAGTCCTGTTTGTAACTACTTTAAGTTATAGTAGGTTTGAATTCCGTATTTCTGCGATAAAGAATAAAAGTTGAAAGTAATAATAATCTTCCAGTATGCAGTTAACTAATATATTTGTAGCGTGGACGAAGGAAGCAGGATATGCAGACACATAATTATTTTTGTGCAACTCCATATTACAGATATGCAATCACATGCATCTTATTGCTACTGTACACCTTATTGGATGATGTAAAACACTGAGCATCATGAATTGAGGCTGCATGAACAGCATTTAGAACATTGATTTAAACTTTCCTTATCTTTATGATTATGGACTAGATGCATAACTTTCCTTTATACTGTTTTCTTTTCTTTTGCTATCTCATAATCATTATTCCATGTGATCTTTGTTCTTTTTTACCTGAATTTCTTGGTGACACGGATGGTTTTATGATTTATAGATCACTAGTTTGTGCTTGCAATTGCACATTGATGTGTCTCTGGGTGCCACTTTAATTCAAATAAAAGCCATTCTTTCCTGAAGAAAAATTATCTTTCCTCGAGTCATTGTTAAGGTGTTATGTAAATATTTTATGTAATCGACTTTATCCAGGACCAAGATGTGAAATGCATGGTTTGGAATTCGTACGAAGATGACCTTGGATGCATCCCAGGTTCTGCTGCTTGAGCAAGGATATTTTCTTCATTTTGGCTTATGTTTTCGTTCATGCCTAAGTGCTTCTTTGCCCAAATTTCTTCAGCCCATTGGTTTTAAGAAGTGGTCATGATCAGATTCATGGTATGTTTATACTCTGTCAATTACATTTTGGTTCAAAGTTCTACAATTTAAATATAAGTCGGCCTCATATCAACTAGTACATGGCAACACTCAGAGCAATGGGTTGGGCTCATCAAAATAAGAAAGCCAAATCGATTTGTCCTTCTCTAGGGATGGTTGTTCCAATGGTAAAATTATGCCAAACTTGAATGATCATCACAACAGTGACCGTCACAAGTAAGGAAAGGAAACATATCTCAAGAGTCCCTATAGACTGTAAATTTACTTTAGCGATATTAATTCTGTTTTGCTAATCCATTGTATTATAGCATCTTTGCTCGACATTTCTCTCAAATGATGCTGTATTTTCCACTTGTACAGATTTTAAGGTCCATTCGTCGACTTTGACAGAAATTGTCACCCAAGAGGTGCATCTCTTCGACTATGGGATCCAGAAGGTGAACATCACAGAGAAGGAAGGGCTACAATTTGCTCAGGTCCTCTTCATGGTAAAAGATGAACTACAGAACTCTAGTTTTAATTAGATTAAAAATTCTTTTGGAAACGAGTTTAGTCATAGAACTTTCTCACAGAACTTGACATGGTTTGGAGCTCAAACCTAGGAGAAGGAAGATGAAAGGTGTGGAAACAAGAGGATACACCTAGGATTTATTTAATTGACATGGCATTGGCATAATCTTACAGGTTTATTTGGCAAAACCATGGTAAGAATCCGATGATACTCCTCGTTGTTGTTTTTCGACTTGTTATGCAGTATATATTTAAAAGTCAAAAAGATGCATCTGACCATAGTTTTTAGCTGCGTCTCAGTTGGTCTGGATCGACACATCAAACACTACAGGCTTGCACAAGGTGGAGATAAATTGGAGGAAATGATTGAAGAATTCCTTCTCCCCTTCAATATTTTTACTAGAGTGCTTCGTGTTGCGTGAGTAAAGGTTTTTACAAACAGCTGCTTGTTCTTGGATGCTTTGTTATGTGATCATCCTTAGCAAATAATGTATCCATTTCTCATTCTTAAAAACTTTTATTATTTTATTATGCTTGTGTGGTTTTAATCTTACATTTGGGTGTAGTAATCTCACATTAGCAAGGAGGGGGGCATAACGATTATGACACATGGATGATTGTTGACCTCTTGGCAATCATCATTGCTAAGCCAATTTGTCATTTTCACATGATTAACACCTCAACTTCATTTGGTCGATGTGGTTGCTAACATTCCACCAACTAGGAGGCTGACTCAGCCGAAACAGGAAATTGACTCAATCGATCGTTATTTACATCTGTTCAGTTTGATGCTATAATCGTAATTTATGGTTGAATAAAATATGTAATTGTTTCTATAGGTTTAATCACAATCTTGAATGCGATAATCTCATATCACACTATAAAAAAGGTTTCTTAGATATACTTTTGATAAGCGAAACTATTTCAATATAATTGCATTACATAGATTCGACACTTAATCAAATCTCTTAAACAAGAAACTAATTTAAGATCAGAGAAGTATCGCAGGATATGCCTTCGATACATTCTTGACAATATCTATTTTTAAAGAAATAAAAAAATTAAAATATATATCGACGTGACAATATGCTGTCGTGTCCTATCATTGGCGTGTCCAAGGGGACGCGTATCGAGCGCGAGGTGGACGGATAGGAGGGAATACGGCAATGTTAACATGATGCTCGTCGATGATGCGCGCCTGTTGAGATCCGTGCGAAAACTTGATGGACGACGGTGATGCGCCATGGACGTCTAAAGCGTCGAGGAAGCCCCGTCTCTCTCCGTACGGCGCCGTGTCGGTCGGGCTGAGCCGGTCCTGAAACCTTTGAAGGACGGGGTGGCAAGTGGAAATGGGACACCATGTGTCGTGTCAGCGAATACATCACCCGCGAATGGGTCAGGGTGATTCAGTCGTCACTGAATCGGACGGCTCAGCCCGACACTCGTCGTGTCAGCCACCACATCACTCGGGCTCATGGCGTGGGCCATGGATCAGTTGGTACATCCAGCCCATGAAAGATTCCTCTTGCCATCAGATTCCACATGAATCGAACGGCTCAGATCAATAATATCAATCAACCGAACTGTATTATCATATTATTATCATGGCTTAATACGCGATCATCACACCACTCTTTCTCTCTCTCTCTCTCTCTCTCTCAGCGTTTCGAGGTCATCGAGGGCGGCGAGCACTCCGATCCTTGTTACCCATAAAAAAGAAACCCTCGTATTTTTCTCCGATTTGGATCAGCCACATCCTCCCGAGCGACCGATTGCGGGCCCGATCTCGCTTCATGATGCCCCGAAGCCGGGTAAGAGGAGGATCCCGCTTGGCCGAGTCGATCTGAGGCTTGTCCAGGCTTTCCAGCTTCCAATCTTGGGTTTGTTGGATCGATTCGAGGGCTTGTTGGGGGGTTCCGAGGCTTGGATGCTTGGATTCGAATGGGGAAGCAAAGGGAGGGAGAGGATCGATTGTTAGTGCTAGGGTTTGTTCATCTTGATTCTTGAATTCAAAGATTTGGTTTTGGAATCTTTTTGTGAGAAGGACTTGGAGATCTAAGGTTTCTCGGGTTCTTTTTGCCGGTTGTTCTCCTCGTTTTATGTAAGAGAGAGGGTTTGGTTGGAATGGGTACGGATACGGTGAGGGATATGGCGTCGCTTGACCCGGAGCTGCTGCAGCTTCCGGAGGTGTCTCATTTAGCTCTAAAGGCGAAACCTAAAATAGCTGAAGAGTTGTACTTCCAGTGGCTTTCGTTTCCAGAAACGGGAAAATTGGTACGTGTTCCTTAATTTATCTGCTTTGTGGCAGTCAGTGAAATGGTGGAGCATGCATTGTTGAGTAGCATCATATCTGTTGTTGTTCTAGATGACACCTTTGCTATAACCATCATGAGCCATCTATTCAGGATGGATGTGTCAGTACTGAGCATGGATTGAATTTTCTCCTTGTTTCATGATTGGTGTCATGTACGATTTGGAGTATGATTTTGAAAATAATTCTTTTCTTTCTCTGCAGTGTGAAATGAGCACATATATTATTTTCCTTTGGAATAAATGTATATTCTTTGTTAAATTTCTCGAAGGAATCTTTAAGCTGCAACTTCCTGTAGATGCTCAATTGCTAAAACGACCCAGAGTTCTTGATGAGAACTGCATATGATTTTCATAGCACTATGATAGTTTAATGCACTTAAACACACAATGACTTGAATGCGTGGATTTAGTTTGACCAATTGACTGTTTGAAAAAAATCTTGTAATGGGTTAATGCCTCAGATGGTCTCTCACTATGACTGAACTTTCAAATCGGTCATTGTAGAGGTTTCGGTGCATATCAGTCCTTGGATGTAGCATAATTCTCCATGTTAGTCCCTCCTCCATGATGGCTGTTGACATTGCTTATGCTGCCTTCTGTCCTCAAATTAAAATATTTTTATACTATTTGGTATCTTGGTCATCATAAATATGTTTAGGATCCAATCATGGATTTTATATATATGATCCATGAACTTATAATTTTGTTTTTTAGAAATATTTCCTTTTTTTTATTCTTTACATTTCTCCTCTTCTTATTCTTTTTTCCTATCTTTCTCTTATCTTCTTTTTTCTTCTCTGTTCTTTTTTCTCTTCTCTTTTCTTTTCATGTTTTCATGTGGGTATATGCATCCAGAAGTTTACTCCTGCTCTCCGTCTCTCTCTCTCTCTCTCTCTCTCTCTCTCTCTCTCTCTCTCAGCTCTTGAGCTTCTGAGCACATATGCAATGACATGCACTAGCGACTGCAGTAGTAGTGAGCAGTGGGATAGGGGCAATACACACCAGTGTTCTACTCCTCTTACTCCTCTCCCTCTTCTCCTTCATCTGTGGTGTCCCAAAACTTAGTCTGTGAAAAAATCTTGGATCTGAAGATACCCTTGGAAAGGATGATGTGTGATTTGAGTCACATGATTCAAAGGTTTGTCCATTCGTTTTAGATTTGTCCAATCATACGGCCTGGATAGAGATGTTGATTTTTGGCCGAAATTGTGTGATCGCAATCATGGATTGGCATATCCTAACAACATTGCCTTCTATCTCTGTAGTGAAGTGAAAAAATATTTTGTAAAAAAGGAGAATCTTTTCTACTCATCAAGTTAGATGGGGTCAATTCTGTACACTTTTTTTTTTGTTAACTGAAGCCTTTTCCAAATACCTTCTTTTTTTGTGCATGACATGCTAGGTGTATTGTGTTTGCCCCAGAGACTTAGATTTGAATAATAGTTGATAATTAAACCCATCATATTTTAGTTTTTTTCTTCATGATGGCTGCCATTTGAGGCAAGATGTTGTTCAAGGATTCTTAAAACCTTTCTTTTGACATTTTACTTTTGGTACGAATTTGTGGTAAAAATGGCTTTTCTGTTGGTTGTTTTACTTTGTATTATGTATTGGTACTCCTTCACTTTAAACATGGCAAGAACATTTACTTTTAATAAATAAGCATTTGATTTATTGTAAATTTCACATTTATAATTTTGCATCATACATTTATATTTCGAAAAGGAAACAAGAGCTGCTTCTAGCATACTTCACATGCACCAAGGGCCTCTAGAGCAATTTTTCTTCTTTTTATATACAACAATGTAAATTTTTCACTTTGTTTATTAATGTCTTTCTTTTTAGCACCTAGAGTTTGTTATTTGTGCATTACAACCTACCTTAAAACGTTACAATTCAGAGATTGCCCTAAATTATGTTTATTCAATTATGGGATGCCCTACGACCCCAACCAATGTGCCAGATAAGTGTCTCATCTGTTAGCTTTTGGTTTCAGGTTAAGTCGTTGATCGAAGATGCAAAATCTGGTTCACCATTGAATGCTGTTGGCAGCTCTAGTACTTCGGGTGCTGCTGCTACTAATTCACTGCCTTCCATGTTTCCTGCTGGCAGTGCACCTCCTCTCTCACCTAGAAGCACTACTGGATCTCCCCGCTTTATGAAACGTAGTTCGGGAGCTGGGCCTTCACCCTTTGGTTCTCCACTAAAATTAGTCAGTGAACCTGTCAAAGAAGTTATACCTCAGGTATCTAACTGCTGACTAGATTTATGTGATATGCAGGCTAAAACATATTTTCTAGGTGGCTAAGGAGTTTCTTATTTAACTGATTGGTACCATCACAGTTCTACTTCCAAAATGGACGTCCACCTCCAAAAGCACTGAAGGAACAGTGCTTGTCTAGAATTGATCATCTTTTCTTCGGCAACATGGACGGAGTACAAATCCAAGGCAATGCATTTAACTTAGCTAATGCTCATAATTGGTCTCGATCATTTAATGATCATTACTCTTTCCTTCTCAGAATTCAAAACCGTTACAAAAGAAATTTGCAAGCTGCCATCATTTCTTTCCAGTTCCCTTTTCAGAAAGATCGATGTTGAATGTACTGGAATAGTGACAAGGTGTGTAAAACCTCATAAAATGAAGGCTGCAAACCATTGCTGTTTTATGCTTTGTTGTTAGGTGTTCCTTCAGTTCTTCCATTTTATTGCTCAAACATGTTTTGTTTATATAGTTGTGTAATTTATATAATTTTAATTTTTTATTCTTTAAAATTCAAGATAAAACTGCTAGTGGTCCATTGATTTGCAACCTGGGCTTGCCCTTTTTCTTCTCAACTGTCTCTAAGATTTATTATATTTGGTGTTGCACATTAGTTGTAGCAACCAACAAGTTGCATGAGTAGAGTAGTATTACCCATTAGACTAGTATTATATTTGGTCTCAACTGTTGATCTCAGTGTGACTTATCACATATCCTCGTTAAGTGGAGCTATTGTGGGATCATTATCTCCATTGCCGACAAATATGTTATTTGAATATTTTTAGTACCCAAGCCTGTGAAAAATTTGAATGAATTGATGATAAGTTGCTGTCTAGTATGGATAGTAGTTCAGGCTGCATACAAGGCTAATTCACGGCCGTTGAATAAAGGTGATTTTGTAAACATGTGTTCTTGAAATTTTAAGTCAGCTAGAACTTGCCCTCTCTTGTGAGAAATTTGAATGAATTGATGATACATTGCCATCTAGTATGGATAGTTGTTCAGGCTGCATATAAGCTTAATTAATGGATGGTTTGGATGGTGAACTAAGGTAATTTTGTAAACACATGTTCTTGAAACTTTTGAGTCAGCTATAACTTGCCATCTTGTACATTTGCAGTATATACGCCCTTTTAGGTCATTTATTTGATTAATGAACCATCTTCAGATTGCAAATATTTTGTTTGTACATCTGGCAGTAGTGGAACATCACATGCATGACAATAAATAGCGATTTATGGATTTTGCTTTCTCTGCAGCAGAATAGAAACATTTATATGTTGAAGAGAGAATTGAGTGAAGACAGGAAAAGAAAAGACGATAAGAGACAGAGAAATAAAGTGGGGTTATTAGGGATATCTAGGCCTATGCACAAGTGGATTTCGTCTTTCTGATAAACAGATTTTAGATCTCTGTAGCCATGATATATGTTGACATTTTCTTGAACATTTATATTTGCTACCTATCATTGAACTCTTCTATGAGGCTTGGCCCCATAGAATGCTTTTTCTGTGACTTGGTTGTTAAGGGCGTAAATCACTGCTCCTATATACAGTATGGTTGCAAGTCTTGATTTGATCCATAAAATTGACATGATGTGACCTGAAAATTTGCAGGATCGTTGGACATTATGGGTCTGGAATATAATGGATTTATATGATTGTTCTAATTAATATGGTTATTTTATCTAGTATATTAACCTGAGTGACCTGAATTGAACCATTACCAATAAGGTTAAATGTATAACTCTGCCGTTTTCGGTTTTACCATGTTGATAGTCTTTTTAGTTAATCTATATAAAATAATTTAATGATGTCATTAATAGGTTGATTGGTTTTAAGGGATCGGGTTCAAAAAAATTTGTGTATATAGATCAGATTGTACCTAAGTAGGATAGTGTGTCATCCTTGACCTTGTATGCTTTTTTTTTTTTTGAGTTATATAGGTCTGGTTTTGGTCTAAGATTTTTGTACAGATATCAAACAAGTTTCTTTCAGTTGGAGGCAGTGATTTAAAAGGTGCTAGGCGCCAAGGTCAAAAAATGACCGAGGCGCTAGAGGCTCGCCGAGCAAAGCGAGGCGTTAAAATATAAAAATATATAATATAATTAATAAATATAATTGTTTAAATAAAAATATGATATTAAATTAAAAAATCTTACAGAATTACAATATCACATTAAAAAAATCTCAAAATTCAAAACAATAACAATAATTTCAAATAAATAAAAATTAGCAGTATTAAAATCAAAAAATATATTATTAATCTAATAAATAAAAAAATATTGTTACTAGTATACAGTTACCAGTATATTGTTAACAGTATACTATCGAGTCGATGTGAGAAGAGGGAGTAAGAGTAATAGTAGCGATGAGTAGCGGCAGCAACAGCAGGAGTGGGAGCCACGATAGTGACAAGCAGCGATAGCAGCGGCGAGCAGTGGTAGTGGCAGCGGTAGTAGGGGCGCAATGTAAGAGTAAGACTGAGGCTACCGACTGAGAGAAGCAGTAGCGGTAGTAGTGAGTAGCAGCAACAGGAGCGGGAGCGGCAAGCAGCGATAGTGGCAGCGGCAACAGCGGCGACGAGCAGTGACATCAATGGCAAGCAACGACAGTGGTAGCGGTAGCGGAGAGCAGCGACAGCGAAGAGACGCAACGACAACAGAGAGGAAATGTCAGCCGTAGAATCGCGAGCAGGGTTAGGGTTGGGGAAGTCGCGAGAGGGATGCTGGGTGGTTGATATCGGTGCTTTAGTTGGTTTGATTGAACCAACTAAAGCACCGAAGACCGAACCATACGTAAAACACTAATACAGTCGCTTGGTTTAACTCGGGCGCTCGCCCGAAGCGCCCGACTCCTAGGCTCGAGCAAGCGCCTAGGCGGCGCCTCTTTGAATCGAGGCGCTTGGACATGAAACAAGGCGCTCGGGCCTCTCCTCGCCTCGCCCGAGTGCTTAGGTGAGCGCCCAAGCGCCTGTTGAAATCGCTGGTTGGAGGGTTTTATCTTATTATACACATCTCAGCTTGACATGAATTCTATCTGACACATGCTGTCACCACTCTGTCACGAACGGTCGTCGCGCACCCGCAACAACTCTGTTCAACGAACCGTTCGTCGCTCTCATCTACATGTATAGCTACTTGGCAGCCTGTTTTGCCTTGGTTTTGGGTCATTTTGCTTGTAAAAATGTAAGTTCGAACAAGTTGCAGCACTACAAAGCGACCGCTCACCGAACCGAGCAAAACAGCCCCAAAACAGCCCAAAACAGCTCCGTTTTCGTGTGCCGCGGGCTGTTTTCTGCAGCCCGCCTCCGCTCACCAAAACGTCAGCCATCTCAGCCCCTTTGAACCCCCCGGGTGGCACAGGGCTGGATGGGGCTTCGGTATAGTGTCGGGCGTTGAACAACCTTTCGCAAGTTCGCACGTTACCTTGACGGGAACTTGTTGTCGCGCCCGGCACCCGGTGAGCAGCTGTTTGTGGACTTGCAGCTGTTTGTTCAACCTTCTAAAGTCCTTGTTTTCCCCCTCTCCCTCTTTTCTCTTGTGCACGTAAGGTGCTCGCTGAATTGCTTGTAAAGCTTTCCCTCTTTTCGCGAGACGTCGGGACTTGTTCGTCACTCGTTCTTTCGAACTAATCAATTTTCTCTTTTACAGGTCTTTCGGGACCTGCGAGAGGTTGCAAGTGGGCTGATCTTTGCGGAGCAATATCGCAAGGGCGAAGCGCGACTTAAGCAACGCAAGTTAAGTTCGCATCTTTGCCGCAAGGGTGCCTCGCGACTTTGGCAACGCAAGCTAAGTTCGCGTCTTGGCCGCAAGGGTGTCTCACGCCTTAGGCAATTCTAGCTAAGGCCGTGATAACTCGTAGATATAGCTCCTTCACTTGCAAGGATGAGACAACTATCTCGGACCTTCTGAGACCTTATGAGTCTCAGGAACTAGGCAGATTTCTTGGTTGTTATAGGTTTTCGGTGATTATTTTGGGAGCAAGGGACAGCAATTGTCATTGACATGGTATGTATGCATGTGTGGTTATAGGTACATACACCAGTTAGCTTAGTGTGTGATATGTGGGATATGGGGCTTTGTTGGTTCTTGGTTTCAGATCAAGTTGCCCTTTGAAGCTTGTACTAAAGTTGCTTAATGCTGTTTATGACATTATGCAAAACATGTTTCTTTTTTTTCTGTTTTGGGGCTAGTCAGTGTTTAAGTCAATTAGTATAATGCATACCGAGGACACAGTCAATGATGCAGTCATCACTTATGTAAATTAGTTTATATGACTGGGCCCAACTACCCTTTTTAATTGTAGTTTTTTAATTTTGTTCTCACTCATGTACATTATCTCAGTTTCAGGAGATTTATGAAAAATTAAGTTATTTGCTTTTTTATTATCTTATTGGAGGCATTCTTCACACTCAACTTTGATTGACTGGTCATGTTGGATACTATGTTAGGGATGCATTTGTTGAATATTGGATCAATAGCAACATGATGACAAAGGATATAGCTACGCAGATATTTACAATTTTGAAGCAAGCAGATCGCAAGTACCTTACTCAGGTTTGCTTCCTTTATTTTCTTGTAGCACTTAAAAACGCAGTTGTTCATACAGTTATTATAATGACATAAGCATAAGTTCAATGGTATAATAATTATGGAAGTGTGTTGTTTTTGCAAGTACTGATATTTATACTTCATTCTTCCTGATTTTTGTATTAATGTTCTTGTATTCATTCTGGATTTCTGTAGGAGGACTTCAAACCTGTCCTGCGAGAACTCCTGGCAACCCATCCAGGTTTGGAGTTCCTACAGGGGACTCCTGAGTTTCAGGAAAGATATGGTGGGTTTTTACTTGTGAATGATGTTACTATGGAAGTTGGAACAGCTGATCTAAAAGTGGACTTGTTTATTATTATTTGCATTGTTGTGTAGTTATCTGATATCATTTACTTTGTAAATAAAGAAATTTAAAAGACTTTGTGAGTACCATTTATAATGACAGATCTTCTCTCAATTCATACTTCGAAAGTACATGTTCTTGTCAATTGTAATAGAATAATATCATTCATCTGCCCATATTTCTTTCTGCTTAAATATGCCTGCTCTATGATGTTTAAATTGTGTACATAAATTGATGTAATACTTCCTACATGTTCCAATCATCTAAGGACTATCTAGCATGATTGGACTATCTTCCAATCATCAAAAGGCCCTTCCTATAAATAATGCTTGTATCGTTCACCGATGCATGCCTTAACTGCTTGTCTCTTGATAATGTAGGATGAGCTCTGACTTTTTTATTGGAAATAAAGGAAGGGAACAAGTGAGGAAGGAATTGAAAATAATATTATGAAAAGAAAGAGAACTATTTTCAAGGAGAGAACTTTTAGAATAAGGGTCTCATGTCTTGCACATGGACGATGGAATCATACCATTGGAAAAAGATATGTGGCCTCACATAATGTGAAAAGAATAAAACTTTCATCGTCTATTACAATCTTTTTGGCCCGTTTTATAGACCTTAAGTACGAGAATAAAATTAAAAATTCATAAAACGAGGGAGAATATAGTAACATCTCATAAAATAAAGCATATCATTCACTACAACTTTCCTTCTGCGAAGAAGATAAAATTTCAGATTTAATTTAGAGAATAGTTTTCCTTTTGATAGTATATCTCTTTGATATATTTCCATCTTTCTGTAAACTTAAATCAATAAGAAACTTCCTTTTGCAGATGAAATGTACCTTCCTCTGTTTTTTCTTCTTTAAGATCTTCAATCAAACTTATGATTGTTTCCCTTGCTTTTGTTTTACTTTCTTTTTTTCTTCATCTTGGATAATCATGGTAACAGGTATAGGATTCTAGCAGATGCTATGCGGTAACTTATGAAAGTTGCAAAAGATACCTTAAACTAATAAAAAAAGTATTCAAATAGGAAGTAATTAAGATTATCCTGCATCACCTGAGTGTTTCATAGAAGGTCCATCACCTAAGAGTTGACCTCAAGAATCATATGTATCTTTTATTATGTTTGTCTTCATTGCCATTTGCGAAATCCATGTGATGCAAGAAAACAAAAACGACTAATTTATAAAAGGGTAAATGTTCTGTTCTTTGCGGAAAGGACAAAAGCCAACCATTGGTGAAATTTTTCTTAATTGAAACAGAAGAAGAACTGCAGAAGAACTCAAGCATTTGGATTTTGATAAACTAGTTTGTTGTTGTCATTTTTTTCTTTATTTGTATCTCACCAATTGTTACTGCTATCTTCTTTCTTTGCTGCTTCCTTTCCATTTAATCACCTGTATTTGTTGCATTTAACAATTGGCATGATGCTTTAGTTTATGAATCAAACTGTGGTTTCTTGATTATTTAGATGTCAATGAATAAAAATATATATCTCGATTATAGATTTATCTCATCACTAAAATTATCTTTTATAAGTAATCAACTTGTTCTTCCACTAAACTACTTCATTAAGGTAGGCACCTAAGCCTTACACTTGGGCTTCAGAAGACTTTGGCGTTTGGTGCTTCACTTGTTCCTAGAGTATTCAGTAGCTTTTTCTTATATTCTTTATGTACCCTATAGTTGACACTAGCAAGAAAAATGACTAGCTTGTTCAAGACACATGGAATTCTTGATTATTCCCTGTTGTCAGGTTTCTGAAACTTCAAGACATGAAAAGTGAGTGAAAAAGAGAGACGTGTTAGGAAGGGAGATGGTGACTCATTCTACTTTCTCTACACCACCTTTGGTGACGAATTCTGCTTTATAATTCTCATTACATCTTGTAATTATCATGTTTGTCAAGCACACATTCTTTCATATCATGGTTCAAATATTTTACACTCTTATATAGTTTTGTTGATGATTCCTTGTGATTTGTGATGCATCTTCAAGGTTAATTTACAAACAGTTGTTTTCATCTAATGCTAGATGTTCCAAGACATATTAGAAAAAGGACATCATATCTCGACTTTCAAGATTTCTGAATGTCATTTTAGCATTTTTGTCTCTCTAATACATTTGATCTCGAACTTTCTTCCCAGCTGAAACTGTCATATACAGAATTTTCTACTACATGAATAGATCTGGAAATGGTCAAATTACCCTCAGAGAGCTGAAACGTGGAGATTTGATTGCTGCAATGCAGCATGCAGACGAAGAGGAAGACATCAATAAAGTTTTGAGGTGACATAATGTTGATGTGCTTTTTATATGTCTTATAGGTTTATTGATATGATTTGTGGAAGTTTGTGTCAGATATGCTTGAACTATATTTACTGTTTCAATTTCTATATGGGCATATTATGTTGTCTGTTGCAAGTGACTATGTCTGTTCTTCCTTTGTTTTTATAAGTGTCTCTCCAAATGAAAAATGTGACGTTAATGGAATCTGGTGGCCTACCATCTGTATAAAGACTACTCTCATTGACTAGGGTTTGTCCAATATAGTGGTGCTTATGGAGAACCTCCTTGCCCTATTGGTGCATACCAAGGCTTAAAAATTTCTTAAAACTTTCTGCTGAAACAATCATTCTTTTAGAGAAAGATCAGTTTTCAACCTTTACAGATATGAATACTGCTGGATTTGGTGATCAGGAATTTCGTTAGTTTCAGCATTTTTGACAAGAATAGACAATTCACGAGAGAGGTCATTGCTGTGGTTACAACTGATGAACTGAATGCTAAAAGCCTTATAGGTTTCTGTTGAACCGGAGGCTTTGGTGTAGGTCAACGTAAGCCCAAATCACTCTTTTAATTTATTTTTCTGACTTATGTTTCACATATCTGCATTTGATGATAATTGCTAGTTGACTATGATTTTTCTCATGCATTCAGTTGAGTTTTAGCTCATGAGGACTATTATGGTTGATATGATTTTGGATACCATACACCAATCTGATTGTTTTATTGCTTATCTTGGTAAATAGTGGTGCCAATTGTGAATCATTTATATTTAGTAATAACAGTTGTTTTACAGATTCCAACTTTGTGTTAGTAATTACGATTTTCACAGTGGAGAAAAGCATGGTCTGAATGTTGCTTGTTCCTGCAGGTACTTCTCATACGAGCACTTCTATGTGATATACTGCAAGTTTTGGGAGCTCGATACAGATCATGATTTCTTAATCGATAAAGAGAACCTTATCAGATATGGAAATCATTCATTGACCTACAGGATTGTTGAGAGGATCTTTTCACAGGTTTGCTTTTCCTTTTGGGGGTTTTGGAATACTAAGATAGTATGCAATAATCAAGAGTTGTATATGTGATCATTGTATTGTTAGATTTCGTTCATGTTGCTTAGGGTGTCCTAATTGTCATCTAGGTACCCAGGAAATTTAAGAGCAAGGCTGATGGTAAAATGGGCTATGAAGATTTTGTGTATTTTATACTATCAGAGGAGGATAAGTCAGCTGAGCCTAGCCTGGAGTATTGGTAATAGCTGAATCCTCTAAATACATGATCTTTATGAAGATGTCAATTGATTGGACGGAATTTTTCTCTTTTGATTTTCTTTTATTTGAAGATCTTTTGCATGACATTGGATTTAGGTAATATTTGTAGGTCTTTTCATCATCATGATCGTTGATATCATGTTCTAACAATTTAACAGTATAGATACTACTGATCGTTCACCATTCCAATCCCATCCTTGGTGGGATCATATAGGATTACAAAATAAAAAAATGCTATGGATTATAAAGCACCATAAGTCATAAGATAGAACTTCTATGCACATATCAATCGTTTATATTGTGATAGTTGGTAAAATTTTCTAACCTTCTAGTGATATTTGCCTAATGAGCTTCTTTAATATACATGATATTGATATAACATATACTAAATGGGAAATCTACTTCTCTTTTTATGTCTTACATTTGTAAGCTGCCACTTTGGCTATCTGATTTCTCCTTGAAGAAATCATTCCCTGGTTAGGAGATGATTACTGATAGCTGTTTCATTTAAACATCCTTTTTGAAGTATTATTTTTATTCTGGCAGCAAGAAACATCCCATAATAAAATAGCCGACCAAAACAAATATGTTTTCTCTTCATTTCTGAATATCAATTTTTTTTGTTTTATTTTATTCCAAAATGACAGTTATCTATATTCAAAGGAAGAGTTACTGCATACTTATTCATGATATCCAAAATTCGTGCAAATATCTGTCCATTTATTAGATAATATTATATGATCCCATTTGTCCTCATTATGTTAATGTCACCTAATTTAGTACTTAGCTGTGGACATTCATTCAGTCTGCATACTTTGTATTGGCACTTCTGCACATTTATATTTCTTGACTTGTACTATTTTTGTATGGTGTTTTTGCTTGATTTTAGTTATATACCAACACAATAGTCCACTTATTAAAATTTTGCCCCAGCAAATTCTTGCATATGTATCTGACTGCATGCAGTCTTAGGTGTGTTTATGTGGTACCTGCCAACCATTGAATGTTGCATTCTTAGTTGAGTTCTCTACATGTTTTTGGATGATTCTATTCTCTTTCTGCTCTCTCTCCTATACAATTCATGGTGGTTTGATTCCAAACAGTAACTTGCATTACTCCACCTCTATTGTTGCTCCATGCAAATGATGAAATAGAAAATTTTTAATTTAAAATTATTTTATTGTTTTGATCCTTCATTTTATTTTATTTTCCAGTTTTAATTAATATTCATCATTAACTGATTTTCCAGGTTCAAGTGTATAGATTTGGATGGTAATGGAATTATAACCGCCAACGAAATGCAGTTTTTCTATGAGGAGCAGTTGCATCGTATGGAATGTATGGCGCAGGAGCCTGTACTCTTTGAGGATATTTTGTGCCAGATGATTGATATGATTGGACCAGAGGTGACCTATTTTCCTGATATTTAGGCTAGCATAAGATTGAGAACTGAAAATTGACAATTTCTTCCTTACAGAATGAGAGCTACTTTACACTGCGTGACCTGAAAGGTGGCAAGCTTTCAGGAAATATTTTTAATATCCTTTTCAACCTCAACAAATTCATGGCATTTGAAACTCGTGATCCTTTTCTAATTCGGCAGGTAAGTGGATCACTCTGTATTTAGTCGTGGACTATGAACTTCATAGCCAAACGGTAACCTGTGCCTGTAATTGGTTATTCAGGAACGGGAAAATCCAACTTTGACAGAGTGGGATCGTTTTGCACATAGAGAGTATATTAGGCTGTCTATGGAGGAAGATGGTGAAGATGCTTCCAATGGAAGCGGAGACATCTGGGATGAATCACTTGAGGCTCCCTTTTAAAGATAATCCGTGGTCACTATTAAAAAAAACAAAAAAATTAATCTAGGTCAGCAGCTCTCTCATATCTCAATCTTTCACTTTTTTGGTTGCAATGATATTCTTTTCTTAGCTGTTTTTATTTTGCGTGATTCACCTCTCATTCTAAAAATGCATTGGTTTCCCCATTTCTAGTTTCTTGCAGAAAGAAACAAATACTATTAATTCTTCTTTGCATGAAGTCAACTATAATAGCCATTTTATTACTAAGATAGCACTTGATGCAGTATGTAAAACTGATTATGAACTTAGAATTGTTCATATACCTACTTGTATAACATATTGTTGCATAGTTAAGGCTTTGCATCACTTCAAAAGGTTAGAGATGCAAAATAAATCTATGTTAGATTTTATTAGATTAGATGATTTAAGCTATCATCTAATTGATGGGATAAAATGAGAACTTTGTATACAAACAAATACAAGCAGGCTATAACACGTAGTGAAATTAAACAGAAATCACAATCAAATATGACACTAAGATTTACGTTGAAAACCCCTTCAACATAAAGGGTAAAAATCATGAGACAAGCCAGAGAAAATCAATTATAAGAATAATGAATATACAAATCTCAGAGTCTCTTGTCCAAAATCCAAATGACAATCACAAGAGAATAACTGAGATACAGGGATTACTTCACTGTACACAATATCCAAAATCTCCCCAAGTGATCATAGTAAGAATTCATTATAAATCTGATCTAACCTGAAATGAGAATGCTACCTGGATGATTGAAAACAGCTTCTACATTGTCCTTGTCTTCTTTTCTTTTTTTTCTTCTCTTGTTTTTCTACCCTCAAGTGCTCTTGTTGCTTCTCCCTTTTTCACAGTCACTGTTGCCCCTTTTTCCTTCTCTGGCCGCCACACCTCTTGGTTAAAAGAGTTAGAGTTTAGGTTAAAAGAGAAAGGGTTTTAATAGCTATGGGATATGGGTTATTAAAGCTCACTATGGGCTGAACTAATGGGTCATAAGCCTAACAACCTCCCCCTTCAGCCCAGGGAGGTTGTCTCATAACTCCTCAATATGAAACCATGTCGACCAGCTGTCGGCATATCTCTTGCCTTTTTTTCGATAAGGTCTCTGTCAACATGTTTGTTCCGTTATCATTTGTATGAATTTTCTGAAGTTGTAACTGGTTCTCTTCAAGTATATTTTAAATCCAGTGGTACCTTTGACCAGTGATTTAAAAAGGCGCTCGGGTGAGGCGAGGCGAGGCCCGAGCGCCTCGCTAATCTCCCAGGCGGCGCGCTTCAAACAGGCGCCGTCTGGGCGCTCGCCCGAGCCCAGGCGCTGGGCGCTTCGAGCGAGCGCCTGGGTTAACCAAGGCGACCGAACCAGGATTTTAGGTCTGGTTCGGTCCTGGTTCAGTCTATGATGGTTAGTTGGTTCAATCGAACCAACTAAAACTGATATAAGTGACAACCGAACCCTAACCCTCGTCGCTGCCGATCCCGATTTCGCTGCTCGCCACTGTCGTTGCTTGCAAACGCTGCCGCTGTCGTCGCTCGCGCCTCCCGCTGCTCGCCGCTCCTGCTCCCGCTGCCGTTGCTCGCCGCTGTCGCTGCTCGCAAACGTTGCCGCTGTTGCCGCTCGCGCCTCC